TTTCTCATAAAATCCCCTTAATATAATTAATATATTTCTTAAAAGGCTTATAAATGATTTATCATTTATAATTTTTATAATAAGATTCTAAAATAGATAATCTATATCTTATTTGTTAAGAATATAATGTATAATTTTATTAGTAGTATGCTTAAATAATTAGCTGCGCGCTCCGCTTTTTCTATAATTTTTGAACAAAATTATAGAAAAACAAGTCCGTAGGAGTCGCAGCTAAATATTTTATTAAAGTCTTAAAAAGAAAAAAATGAAAAAGTTTTATATTATAAATATATATATAACTATATAAAATAATTTATTTATAAGAAATAAGTAATAACTTAAAATAAAATTAAGTATAAAATTTATGGATAAACTAAATAAGCCTATAGTATAATTGGTTAGTACACACTGTTGATATCGGTGTAGCAGAAGTTCGAATCTTCTTGGGCTTAAAAATTTTTACTAAAAAAAAAAAGATTTATTTTCATTTTATATCAACCAAATAATAATTAAATAAGATATAATTATTATTTAATATTGCGATAGCATCGTTTAACTGCCATATAAATTATAAGTTTCAACTTGTTGAATATATAAAGATACTATTAAAAAGGAATATTAGGATGTTAATATTTATTATCATCATTAAAAAATAATTATTATTATGCGACTATTAAAATCAAATAAATTATTAAGTATTGTTAATAGTTATATTGTTGATTCACCTCAACCATCTAACTTAAGTTATGCTTGGAATTTCGGATCATTATTAGCTACATGTTTAGGAATTCAAATTGTTACAGGAGTTATTTTAGCCATGCATTATACACCTAATGTTGATTTAGCTTTCATTAGTGTAGAACATATTATGCGTGATGTTAACTATGGATGGATGATTCGATATTTACATGCTAACACAGCTTCATTCTTCTTCATTTTTGTATACTTACATATTGGACGAGGTATGTATTACGGGTCATATAAAAGACCTCGAATTTGGCCTTGGTCAATTGGTGTAATTATTTTAGTATTAATGATAGGAACTGCGTTTCTAGGTTATAATAATACGACCTAAATTGAAATAGAAATAATATTTAATATTAAAAAAGTAATGGTTCCCATTATTATATTAATAACTTTATATAAGTTTAACGACTATAAAAAATAATATAGTCTGAACAATAATAAAAATTATTGAAAAATTTTATATCTAATATATATATATTAGATATAATAAAAAATAACATAAATTGATGTATTACCTTATGGACAAATGTCATTATGGGGTAAAAGTGCTCCAAATATAATAAAAATAATTTCTGAAAATAATATTTCTCTTGTAATTATTTTAATCAGAAACGTTTAAAACGTTAAACGGCTAATAAAATTTAGTAAAATACTAATATATAGTCTGAACAATAATGTAAATTATTGAATTTTATTTTTGCACCTTTAAAAATTTTAAAGTTTACATATTACTTCTTAAAATCTCTAAAGTTGAATATTAAATATTTGATCAAGAGTTATAAAAATTTCAGCGATTAAATATAAAAATATAACAATATAGGCTACTGTAATTACTAACATGTTATCAGCTATTCCATGGATTGGAACAGATTTCGTAGAATTTATATGAGTTCTACTGTTATTAAAACTTAATAACAAAATAAAAAAATTATTACTAAAAATCTAAATTTTAAAAAGATAATCAGTATCAGATAATATCTGATTAAAGACTATATCGATATTTAAGATATTTATTCTTTAATAAGATAGTCTAAATTAATTAGAAATAATTAAAAAATATAATTAATATACTGATAATATTATTGTCGTATGGGGTGGTTTAAATACTGTTGAACCATGTGATAGTGATATCACATTAAAAATTCTGCTTGATGCTGGAAACTCCACGTTACTAGCTTCTACGTACTTTGGAATTACTAAAGATTCTAATGTAAAAATCGTAGAAACGAGTGGACAATCAGCAGAGGTCAAAAATAATGAAAATGAAAACAACTCATATTCTGATTTGGCTTCTCAGAGACTTAACGCAGAAGATCTCTTAACGTATGAAGCTTATTTAGTTGGATTAATTGAAGGAGATGGTTGGTTTAGTATTACTAAAAATGGTCGATACCTTCAATATGAAATGGGCATTGAATTACACATACGAGATATTAAGTTATTATATAAAATTAAATCTATATTAAATAGAGGTGTCGTAGTTATTCGGAAAGATAAAGAAGGTAATCCTATTAGTAGAATTTTCCGAATCCGAAAAAAAGAACAATTAAAGAAAATTATTTTACCTATTTTTAACAAATATCCTATGTTATCAATAAAACAAATAGATTTTCTACGACTACAACATAACTTATTATCTAATGTAATTTATAGAATTGACTTAAAATCTTATGTTCGACCAGAAGAAGTTATTTCTTTAAAAAGAAGAAAAGACCTATCTTTATTACCTTACTTTAGAAGATGATTAATTGGATTTATCGAAAGAGAAGGTTGTTTTAGTATTTATAAAAGAGCTAATCACCCATCTAATATTGCTTCATTTGATATCGCTCAAACAAGAAGAGTGAACGTAATTACAGCTATTAAAATAAAATTAAATTTAACACAAAAAGTATATATTGATAAAACAAATTGTGCTAAACTTAAAGTATCAAGTGTACGAAGAGTGGAAAATGTTGTTAAATTTATAAAAAATGCTCCAATTAAATTACAAGGCTATAAAAAAGTACAATACTTATTATGGCTTAAACAATTACGCAATACTTCACGATATTCAACTAAATTTAAAGTGCCAGAAAAATACTAAATGGAGATCAAGATATAGTCCGATCATCATATAATCAAATTGATGCGTGTAACGAGAACCCTTATTAAAAGGCGTGGGGTTACCAACATAAATGCTCAGTAAGCAATGCAACACTTAACCGATTCTTCTCTCTACATTACTTATTACCTTTCATTTTAGCTGCATTAGCATTATTACATATGATAACTCTGCACGTAAATGGTAGTGGTAACCCATTAGGAATTAGCTCAAACGTTGACCGTATTCCAATGCATCCATATTTCATGTTCAAAGATCTTATTACTATTTTCTTATTCTTCTTAGCATTAGCTATTATTGTATTCTATATGCCTAATGTAATGGGTCATTCCGACAATTATATTCCAGCTAATCCTATGCAAACACCTCCTTCAATTGTACCTGAATGGTTAAAAATAAAAGATGCCTTTCATATTATATATATATAATGTTAAAAACTACTAGAACCCTGAAAAATCAAATTTGCTTAGGCTAACAAATATTTGATATGACTACTAGTAATGTTTTAAATAAAACATTCAACGACTAAATTTAACGTTATATTTTTAATATCAAAATCAAAATATATTAAAAATATAAAATACATAGTCTTATTATTTTATAATATAATTTTAAATACATATTCTTTCCTGTACTTATTATTTTCATAGTAGTACCACGTTTAACTAAATCTAGATGTGATTTAATTATAATTCCTCCGTATATTAAAGAAGTATTAGTAGGAAAGGTGATGAATGGTTACAAAAACGTTCTATAAATCAAAATACTCGATTTGGATTTAGACAATCAAATAAAGAAGAAAAACAAGAGTATTTTAGTTATGTTTTTAATATATTCTCAAAATTTTGTACAGCTAATTACATCCCTAACATTTAAACGCTCAGGGTATAATACCATTTTAGGAAGTATTTTATTTATTACAATAAGATTACCTTGTTTTAATACATATTATCAACTATTTTATGTTTCAGATAAAAAAAGAAATATTATTAATATCTTTACAAGAGTAAGTTTAGCTCATTGGATTATATGTGATGGCTCTAAACAAAATAAAGGATTACATTTAAATACATATGATTTTGATTTAACCTAAGAAAGTGTTAATCGACTTATTTTTATCTTAGAACAAAAATATAAATTAAATTGTACCATTCATAGCAGGACCTCGTATTTATATCATAGAAAATTCTATGAATAAACTTCGAGAACTAGTTAAACCACATATGGTTCCTAGTATGTACTATAAAATTGGATTATAAATATACAGATCTATTACCTTACTATGCTATTTTACGATCTATTCCTAATAAACTTATAGGAGTTATTAGAATGCTTATGTCTCTATTAATTCTTCTAGCTATGCCTATTCTTGATACATGTCGAGTACGAGGAAGTCAATTCCGACCTTTAATGCGATTCTCATTCTGGGTATTCGTAAGAGATTTCTTCTTCTTAATGTATCTTGGATCACAACACGCTGAAGAACCTTATGTTACATTAGGTATGATTGCAACAGCTCTATATTTTGGATGGTTCTTAGTATTAGTACCAGTAGTAGGAATTATTGAAAACACATTAGCAGATATTGCAACAACAGAAAACAAATCTGGAAATCAATAATCTTAAATTTAATAACAACACAAAATCCCCTAAAGATTTTAATTCCTTTTTGCACTAAGCTGTTATTATGTAAGACAAAATTAAAAAACAAGTCCTAAGAAATTTTTATAAAAATAGCAGAACTATAAAAACTCATATTTTTATAACTCTTTATAATTTAGTTATTATAATAAAGTTATATTATAGTTTAGCTGCGCGCTCCGCTTTTTCTAAAATTTTCGAACAAAATTATAGAAAACAAGTCCGCGGAGCAATATTTTTAAAAAACTTTAAATTTTGTATTTTTACATAAATTTTAAATCTTGAGAAGAAAGTAAGAAAAAAAAATAAAAACGAATAACAGATAAAAGGAAAGGGGGGGAATCATATAAAGGTAGTATTCTGTGTTTGCAACACAGCCGTATGAGTTCAATTCTCATTTTCTCCATTATATTATACTATTTTTAACTTTAAAATAAATATAAAACATATATAATATAAACTCTCGAATAATTGAAAAATTATATTTTACTCAAGAGTATAAAATAAAGCTCAGATAGCTCAACTGGTAGAGCACCGAACTGAAGATTCGGTTGAAGAAGTTCAAGTCTCCTTCTGGGCAATATAACATTAATATATATTTTAAAGTTAATAACTTGCCTAAACTTATAAAATTTTAACCTTATATTTAATCCTTTAATATCTAAGATATACTAAATTAATATGTTGCATGAATTTATAATGGGAAAATTTATAAACTTCTCCAATATTAAATCATTACATATTAAACTGCGACTAATCTTTAATATTTTTATAAATACTGTTTTATTTTTATTTATAATATACTTATATTTTATATTTTATATTTTATATTTTATATTTTATATTTTATATTTTATATTTTTTTTTTATTTAATTTATATTTTATAAAAATATTCAAGACAAGAAAAAAGAAAGTGAATTAAAAAAATAAAAAACGATTCTATTCTTTATAATATATATTGGTTAATTAATGATAACAATATATACTATATTAATCCAAATGAGATAATTAACATTAAATTAATTATTCAGTTACATATTTAAAATATAATTTTTTTGTTTTCAAGTGTTATTATAATTTAAAGATTTTTAAATTAAAACAATTAACAGTAATAATTTTCTATATAATAATCCATAATTTTAATTTATCTATAATATTTTTTCAATATATTCAATATAAAACTAGATTTATCCAAGAAATAAAAATAAAGAGATAAGATTGAGGAATATAAGTTTATTAACTCCGTGACAAAAGGCGCATTTTTAGCTCTGTGCTGCGTAACAATTAAAGAAATAATTTATTTTTTAAAGTATTAATATAAATAACCGCGGACTTTCTATAATTTTGGAACAAAACTATAGAAAAAGCGGAGCGCGCCGCGCAGCTAACTAAAAAATTAGTAAATATTGCTCTGCGGACTTATTTTCTATAAAATTATAGAAAAAATGCGGAGCGCGCAGAAAATAGAAAAATAAAATTAAATAGTATTAAATAATTATTATTTCTAGACTAATTTTAAGAATATTAACATATTAACAGTAAAAAAAATACATAATATTTATTTTCAAGAATATACATTTATTAAATTTTTACCAAATGAATATTATGTCATAATATATATTAGAACTCTATATAAATTTATACAATTTACATGCTAAAAAAGAATAAATATAAAATAACATTGTGTTTCTAATATAAAATTAGCTCCGCGTCCTACGGACTTGTTTTTATATAATTTTGTTCCAAAATTATATAAAAAAGCGGAGCGCGGAGCATTATATTCTTTTAATATATAAGAAATAAAATATAAGCCTCGAAGTCTTAAGACTAAAATAATATATAAAAAAAAAATACAGGTGATAGTTCAATTGGTAGAATACATGCTTTGGGAGTGTGGGGTTGCAGGTTCAAGTCCTGCTTACCTGATTAAGGTGTGAAATAAATAAATATGAAATATAATAAGCTCCGTTTTGTCTTCAGTAAAAAAAAAAAATAAGAAAAAAAATATTTTCAAATAATTTATTCATATATAAAAAATGTCCCTATAGCTTAATGGTAAAGCAGGATACTGTTAATATCAAGAAGAAAGTTCAATTCTTTCTAGGGACTAGTTAAGATAAAAAATCAACTTAAAACAAAAAGATTTTAAGTATTACCTATTAGTTTACAATTTATTGCTTACACGTTTACAACTTATAAAAGTTAAAGAACATAAAATTTAAATACTAAAGAAAGTTACTAATTAAAAAATTATTATAATTATTATAAAATATGAATACATTTTTATTAGATTTATTAGGATTTGGAGTATTATTATCAGGTATTTTAGTAATTACATCAAAAAATCCAGTTATTTCAGTTTTATTTTTAATTTCGGTTTTTGTTAATGCAGCTGGATATTTATTATTATTAGGTGTAGGATTCGTTGGTATTTCATACTTAATTGTTTATGTTGGAGCTATTGCTATTTTATTCTTATTCGTTGTTATGATGTTAAATATTAATATTACAGAAATTGTTTCAGTTGGTCGAGAATATACTAAAAATTTACCTTTAGGATTAATTGTTGGTTCATTATTTTTTTATGAAATCTTATCATTAATTCCAAATACATATAAAGAAGCAGGTGGATTACCATTATCATTATTCCATTATCTTAATGGTTTATTTTTAGGTATTGATAGTTCATCTATTGGTTCATCTGTACATATAACATTTGCTAATATTTCACCTGATCAAAGATTTTCACAATTCTTACAAATTGAAGCTATTGGACAAGGTCTTTATACTTATGGATCATTATGGTTATTAATTGCAAGTATTATTTTATTATTAGCTATGTTAGGACCTATTGTATTATGTTTACGATCTGTTAAAACTATTTAATTCTCTCATTCCCCTCTCTACTCCTATTTTCTTAATCAAAAAATAATTCTCAATAAAATTATTATTTAAGTAATTATTATTAGATATAATTCTCGCTACTTTATTTAGATTATTCTTAATATCCTATTCAAATATTAAAATATATATAATATTTTATTTAGGAGTTATATTATTATATACATTTTCCCATTCTTTATTTGAATTATGTTCTATATATAATATATATATATAAAATATATAATTTTTTTAAGATATTAAATAATATATTGTTTATTATTAATATTAATTGAATATGAAATTAGATCATGTTTTATAATAAATTAGTCTAATTCATCTTTTAGAGGTTCAATTTATAAACTTCCTTCTAAATTTCTTAAATATATTCATGTATTTTTATAAATAACCTTCAATTCAAAAATAAATATCAATAAATCCATCTTTAACACAATTCTCTATTAGAATAATATTATTATATTAGCTCTCATAATTATATAAATAAGTTAATTATAGCCTTTAAACTTTTAATAGTATCTTTCTATACTGAAATATTTTCAGTTTTTACTTTTAAATTTCTAATTTTGAAATATATATATATATATATATATTATTATTAAGCTGGAAAAAGGATTTGAACCTTTTTTGTGCCACTATGAAAGGCAAGTTTTACCAATTAAACTATTCCAGCTGTATTATTTATATTTAAGGATAAAAATTTTCTATAAACTGGTTTCTGTATTTAGTTAATAACTATTATTATTCAATTTTTTTTAATTAATATCATTTAAATATAATTAAAAAAATATCTTAAATAAAACATAGGCGTTAATACTCTTAAAAATTTATTACTTTTATTTTTTCTAAATTACCACAACTCTTGTCATTTTATATTTTTATACATTTTCAGATCTTCCTATTTACTTTTAACTATTAAAAAATTTTATCCTTTTCATTTCAAAATTTTATTTTATTTGAAATGAAAAGAGGGATATATATTATTAATCTTTATAAAAACTCTATTAAACTATAACTTTTTAATATTTATAACTAAAAAATGGGACAAATAATTTTTCAGTTTTTATATTTATTTTATTAATAATACTATTTTTCCTCGGGTAAAACCACAGAATCGAACTGAGGTGACTTCAACCACAATGAAGCATTTTACCATTAAATTAGTCTTACCTTGAAGAGAGCAGGACTTGAACCTGCAATAGATAAAAATCTGACTGGTTTACAGCCAGCTCCCTTACCAATTAGGGGTATCTCTCCTTTAATCCTTTTAAAGGTTAAAGCTTATTTCTTATAATATATTATATCTCATATTACTTTTTATACTTCTAAGACAGAAATTTTTTATCTTTTTAAGAGAAATGTTATTATAATTTATCTGTTTTTTAACTGCTACGAACTTGTTTATATAATTTTGTTGCAAAATTATAAAAAAGTCGCCTAGCCAGCCCATTTTAATATATATATTATAATAAATACCAAAAAATATCAGATTATTTTTTAAATTTTAATATTTAGCGTGCAGTGGGGCAAAGTCTATAATCTATTATATAATAATATTAACTATTATTTCTGTCCCCATGCCTTTTCCATTAATTTTAAAATAACTTATTATTATAATAATATTAATTTGAATTTAATTTATATTTATATATCGTATATGTATGTTTCTATAAAAGTTAAGAAATAAAAGATAAATGAATATACTCAAAGAAAAATTAGCTCCGCATTTTGTTAGACAAAAAAGAAGTCCGCGCAGCTAATGAAATGAAGGTTATTTTACCTGCGCGCTCCGCTTTTTATATAATTTTGGAACAAAATTATAGAAAAACAAGTCCTCGGAGCTTAATTAAAAATATATTAAATATATACACAAAAATCTAATAATTCCGTTTTGTCTTACAAGCGCCCATTTTTATTATTCAATAAACTAAGTAAAAGCGAATAGGTAAAAAAAAATCTTAAAATAGTTTAAATAATATATTAATATATATTTAAAAAAATAATAATTTTAAAGAAGGAACAATTTAGTATTTAAAAATAATAAAAAAATAAAAAAAAACATGTTAACAAGATTATTATTAATTCCTATTATTGGTAGATTAATTATATTACCAATAAATAATATAACACAAATTAAACAAAGAAGAATAATTACAGCAATAATTAATTTTACTTTATCATTATTTTTATGGGTAAGATTTGATTCAGGTTCATTACAATATCAATTTGTACAAGAATATAATACATTAAATTTTTGTCATTTACATATTGGAATTGATGGAATTAGTTTATACTTTGTATTATTAACAACATTTATTACACCATTATGTTTATTAGCTAATTGGAATAATTTAGAATTTGGATATAAATATTATTATATTGCATTTTTATTAATGGAAACATTATTAATTGCAGTTTTTGTAGTATTAGATTTAATGTTATTTTATATTTTCTTCGAAGCTGTATTAATTCCAATGTTCTTAGTTGTAGGTATTTGGGGTGGTTCAATTACACGAATTCGAGCTTCATTCTTATTATTTTTATATACATTAGCTGGTTCATTATTTATGTTATTAGCTATTATGGTTATTTATTATAATGTAGGAAGTACAGATTTTACAGTTATTTCATTATCTAATATTAATCCAGAAAGTCAAAAAATTTTATGGTTAGCTTTCTTT